TGAGAATATTTAATTTTAACAAACATTCAATTATTATTCAATAAATTCTTTATTTTTTAATTTAAATAATTGAGTTCTTCTAAAATTTTTTAATAAAAATTGATTTTAAAATTAATTACCGAATAATCGATTTATTATTTATGAAAATAATTGAATTATTGCTTAGAATTTTATTACATTTTTTTTAAATAATTAAATTTTTTTGAGAAATTTTACTACTTGTAAAAATAATTTAATTCTTGCAAAGGATTTTATTAGGATTTTTGTAAATAATTCATTTTTTTTTGAAAAATTTTATGGTAATTTCGAAAAGGTTTGGATTTTAATGTTTTGAAGAATTTTAATTCCTACAGAAAAATAATAATGATAAAATATTTATTTAAAAAAAAAGTTAATGATGTTTTTGAATAATTTTATTCTTGAAGAAATTTGTAAATAAATGTAATAGAACATTTTTTTGAGTATCTAATAATTTTTAGAGTGAATCAGAATATTCTTTAGGGTCAGGGAAAAAATAAAAATTTTGTCTGGAAATTAGGGAAAAGCAGGGACAAAAAAAATTTAATATTTGTGGCAACCCTGAACTATCGCAGCAACGGTTGCCGTGAAAAACGTTGTTATGGTAATAATTATCATAGCAACTATGCTATGATAGAAACGGTTACTATGGTAGCCATTAGCATAGCAACCGTTGCTATTGGTGCGGTTACTATAGAAACGATTGCTATGGTAACCATTCGCATAGCAACCGTTGCTATTGGTGCGGTTACTATAGAAACGATTGCTATGGTAACCATTCGCATAGCAACCGTTGCTATTGGTGCGGTTACTATAGAAACGATTGCTATGGTAACCATTCGCATAGCAACCGTTGCTATTGGAGCGGTTACTATAGAAACTGTTGCTACGGACACAGTTTCTATGGTAACCATTTAGTATAGCAACAGTTGCTATGGACACAGTTGTAACGATTGCTAACGGCCCCAGTAGCATAGCAACCATTGTTATGCTATAGGGGCCCTTAGGAATTACGGCTAAGCTTCTGCCCTTGACTACGTACCCCCAAAAAGAAGAAAAAAAATAAAAAGAGCGGCGAACGTGGCACGCTATATTTCGAAAATGAAAAAACCCTGCGAAAGACTCGAATTGATATAATTACAATGATATCAGCGGATCTAATTGAAGGCAAGGAGATGTGTGTGGTGAATTGAAGGCAATTACAACAGTGAGCGCGAGGGGGTTTTTGGACGGTGCGTGCAGAAAAGGAAGCACAGAGGGAACCGAGAGTACGAAAAGTATCGGGGAGTCAACGGATGGACAAGGTAGACAGTATCGGATTGATCTGAGAGCGAGTGAACCCAATTACCCGGTGAACGGCCAGATTTATTGTGCCGACAAGACTTGACTTGAGGGAGAAGAGGAGATGCCACGGGATGTGGTGGCAGCCATCTCTTTAACCGCATGTGTCGTCCCGTGATTCCCCCCCCCCCTATAAAACAGCAAATACGGGGCATGAGGGTGTCGTGTCGTTTTACTCACCCAATTATCAGCCGCTGACAACACGACCTTTCGAAAGCTCCCGATCTTTTCTCTCTCCCCTTTCCTTTCCTTTTAGTTTCAGCAATAAACCATAAAAGCGTCTTCTGCCACGCGATCAAAATCGCAAATCCTCTCTCTCTCTCACTCGCTCTTTCGACTTCCCTCTGTGTGTGGATCATAAACAATTTATAATTGACGCGATTCCCCCCGATACCTTCTTGAATCATATTTAATACATCTCATATACATTGACAATTGATTTATTGCTCGATATATTCTTGAAAATTTATTACCAAAGCGGTGGATGATAAATTTTATGATAAATGAATTTTGGAAATTGAATTACTAGACGAAATCGCAGAGGCCATTGAAAATGAATGAAAGAATTATTTGGCAATTGGTCCTAATTAATAGAAATACTAATTTTATTAATAGAGTATTTTATTAATAAAATTAGCATTTCTATTAATTCGGAAGATTAATTCTATCAGAAGTATTAATTCCATTAATTTTAATAGCAGTGATGCAATAGAATTATAGTAGTGGCAAAAATTGGAATTCCTAGTTCCTCCTTCGAGATGCAGATCAAAGAAGCAGGTCGCAGGTGGCTGTCAAGAGAGGCAAACATACTTTACAATGAGACAGAGCTCGAAGGCTTTGGATGCTGCCGCCATTCTGTCCACTGGACCTAAAGGGCGCTGATTGAAGTATTTATTGCTCCACCTTCTATATACCCTTTATATTCGTAATGATCCTTTTTGCATTCGATATTTTTTTTCGCCAATTCAGTGTCAGTTTACTTCCAAGCTGTCGACACTTCCGCTATCTTCCTAATTATCTCGGAATCGCCTCCTACAAATACAATCCTCCCTTATTGGCTTCCATTTCAAATGGAAATATTTCAATCCCTCTTGTTGAAATGATTAATGCTAAAATCGTGTATCGAAATTGTGGTCTGTACTTGAGCATTTGGTCAAGTACATTGGAACCTCTATTTAGTGGTTCCCTTTTAGTGGTTAAAAGGTAGACCATATACTAAATTGAGTATGACTTAGGCTTCTATTTGTAGTTCCTAACGGTCCCTATAGGGGACGTTACGTTGCGCAACAGCAACCGTAGCTATGGTTTTAGTTACCATAACAACTGTATCCATAGCAACCGTTGCTATGTAAATAGTAACCATAGCAACCGCTGTTATGAAAATCTTTAATTATCAATTTAATTGCGTTATTTTCTTTTCTATAACAAGGAGTTTTCTTTTTTGAAAAATAAAATATTTTTGTAATTTTTTTCCCTTTTCGAATATTAAGTTGTCCAATTAATGTCAATATTTACAATTTTTTTAAAAAATATCTTAAGTTTTGTTTTGTTCAAATTTTTCTAAAATGAATTTTATCCTTGTTTACTTCTCGTTTTTTTTACAGTTGTTACATTGAACATTGTTTTAAATATACGGTTCAGGGTTGACACAAAAATTTAATTTTGTATTTCCCTGACTTTTCTCTAATCCTGAAAAATATTCTGATTCACTCTAAAAATTATTAGATTCTCAAAAAAATGTTCTATTACATTTATTTACGAATTTCTTTAATTGTAAAATTATTCGAAAACATTATTAACTTCTTTTTTAAATAAATATTTAAACATTATTACTTTTCTATAGGAATTAAGATTTTTAAATTCAAACCTTTTGAAATTAAATAACTTATGGGAATATTATAATAAAACATGAGAAAATAATTGAATTCTTGCAAAAAATTTTATTAACAATTTTTTTAAAGAATTGAATTCCAATGAAAAAAATTATTTGTGCAAATAATCGAATTCTGGAGAAAAGTATTATTTTTTATGAAAATAATTAATTTCTTATGAAGAATTTTATTCAAATTTGTTAAAATAATTGATTTTCTCAGAATTTTTAAAAAAATTTTGAAAATAATTATTAAATTCTATGGAGAAATTTCATTAAAAAATAGAAAATAATTGAAATCTGACGAGGAATTAAAAAAAAATTTTTTTAATTATTAAATTCGTTTGAAAATGTTTATTTTTAAAAAGAATTGAATTCTTGGGAAGAATTTTACAAACATTTTTGACAATAATTGTATTCCTAGGAAGAATATTATATTTTACGAAAATAATTGTATTCTATGATCCAATTTTATTATCATTTTATCAAAAATTTTTTAAATAATTGAGTTCTCGAGAAAAATTTTATTATTTATAAAAATAATTGAATTCTTGCAACAAAATTAAAAAAAATTTTTTTAAAGAATTGAATTCCTATGAAAAAATGTATTTTTGAAAATAATTTAATTTTGGAGAAAAATATTATTTAAGAAAGTAATCAATTTTTTGTGAATAATATTATTCCAATTTGTTAAAATAATTGAATTTCTCAGAATTTTAAAAAAATTTTGAAAATGATTAAATTCTAGGCAAAAATTTCATTAAAAAATTGAAAATGATTGGAATCTGACGAAGAATTAAGAACAATTTTTTTTTCATAATTGAATTCCTTTGAAAATGTTTATTTTTAAAAATAATTGAATTCTTGGGAATAATTTTACTAACATTTTTGACAATAATTGTATTCCTAGGAAAAATGTTATATTTTACGAAAATAATTGTATTCTATGATCAATTTTATTATAATTTTTCAAATTTATATAAAGCATTTTATTCAAATTTTTTTAAATAATTAAATTTTCGAGAAAAATGTTATTAATTATGAAAATAATTGATTTCTTGCGAAGAACTTTATTTCAATTTTTTTTAAATAATTGAATTCTTAAGAAGAATTGTATTAAAAATAAATGAATTGTATAGGAAAATTTTTTTAAAATTACAATTTTATTAACTAAATCCTGTAAAGAATTTTGTCAACATTATTTTAAATAATAGAATTTTTAAAAGAATTTTATTAAAATTTTTCTTAATAATTGAATTTCTCAGAATAATTTTTTCAATTCTCTTAATATATTTGAATTCTTTGGAGAAATTTCATTAAAAAATTAAAAATAATTGAATTGATTCCAAGAAATTTATAAAAAATTGGCAAGTAATTGAATTCCTGTGAAAGTTTTATTCAAATTTTGTTTGAATTATTGAATTGTTTTGGAAAATTCTATTGAAATAGTAGATATTAAAAATAATTGATATTGAGGAAAATATTTGAAAATAATTGAAATTTTGACAAGAATTTTATTCAATTTTTTGAAAATAATTGAATTTATTAGCGAATAGATTTAGAAAAAACTCATCAACTTATATATTCTTTATTTAAAAGTTAAATTAAATTTAAAATAGGAAAATTGATTGTTTTATCAGATAGAATTTTCTGGAAAATATAAAATTTTGAAATTTTAATTTCTTGATTGATTTTGTCCATTGAAATCCTTAATAATTTTTCTGGCCAATTGTAGATAGAGTAAAATTGAAATAAGTTTTATTAGCCCCTTTCTATTGCACATCTATCTCTGACACATTGGCTACTACAGCATTGAAAATTTTCACGACACTACAATTTAATAAAGTAAATTAAAAAATTAATTTTCAATTGACAGATAATTAAAATTTTCTTTTAAATAGAAAATTTTTTTAAAATAATAAGTTTCTATTACTAGATATCCATCTCGTATGCAACATGTTCCACTGCGGCACATGCGTCCATGGCAACATCCAAAACTTCCACCACACTAAAATAAAAAATTTTCTCCTTATTTTTATTTAAAATTCAATTAAAATTAAAAAAACATTTAAATGAATAAAAGTCCAAGTTCATTTTACAAATGAGTTTCTTAATTTTCAAAAATAATATAATTTTTCTTACTTGCATTCCTAATGTTCCACAACGTTCTATACAATGTCGTCGGTTGATGTTACATACACTACCAGGACAACAATTTTCATCCACTGTACACTAAAAAGTTAATTTAGAAATTTATTAATTAGATTTTTTTTATAATTTTAAATAGTTTTGAAAAGTAGAAACTTTTTTTGTTTCAAGTAATTAATAACTTACCGATCTACCAATGTCCATACATGGTTGACTGTTGACGGCTAAGACAAAAGTCCCAATACACAAAAACACAAGGGTGAAAGTTTTCATCTAAATCAAAAATTGTGTATTTAATTCTTTATTTGCTATTGAGAATTTTTCTTTAAATACCTAATAAGTAATATTACCTTTCTTTTAATTTCTCAGATCGGTTGTATTGTTTGAAAGTTAAATTTGAATTTTTAAAGAAAATATTTCTCATCATTTATATACTCACAAAAAATGTCTTTCCTCTATTTATATTATTTTTTCATCGTTTATTTAATAAAAATTTTTTTCTCTCTCTCTCTATTATTTTCTCTCTTTTTCAAGGTTGCAATATTTTTTTCACCTTTCTTATCTTTATATTTATTATCTTTTTGATTGTTTCATTCTCATCACTATGAGGAGATATTTTTTATTGAAAGTATAATTTTACTTTATTTCAAACAAAATGATTTTACTTTTAAAAATAGTCGGCCATATTGAATCGGCCATTTTAAATTTTGAAAATTCGTAAGTAGCGCAAAAATTCCGGAGTAACGAATTTTTAGCAAATTGGATCGGTTTTCAATAAAGTCGTCCGCCATATTACATCCGCCATTTTGAAATTTTGAAATTTGTGAATTTAAAAAAAAATTCAGGAAATAATCATTTTCGAAATACGGAAATATTTTAAATGATAAGAATCGTGTATTAAAAGCATCTTTCAGGAAAAGTGTATCGTCTCACATCTAAAAACTTTCAATTGTAAATGAAATACATTTATATGTGCATATATGCGCTATAGAAAGGGACTATGATGAGTAAGTGGTAAGAAGCTGAAACTGAAAGATCGAAGGAAGAAACTTGGCAGTCCTATAATTATATTATTACCCGCTGCGTAGCTCATGACTCGAAGGATCAATTTGTCTTCAGCCGCAACAAGTTCGCGTAATTTGTGATTTATCACAGTCCCGTTCTTCGTCGCCCTTTCTTATACTGGGGTTATACATGCGGCGCGGCGAAACTCCAAAGACGTATAATTTTAAGTCCCTGTCTTGTGAGAGATGAAGAGTGCGGAAAAAAAATCGACTCTGGTTAAAACCGCGCGCGTACTCGCACACGCGGGGAAAAAAATTTTTTCACTGTGCAAGGAAAAAATCAATTCCATATATTTATTAAACATTTTCTCGACAATGTTTTTGTTCTCGTATATACAATGTTTTAGTTTTCAATTTCTATTAGGCTTCGCGCACTCATCTGTACTGAAACCTACTGTTTACTACTTTTTCTTTACAATTCGCCACTAGTTGGATACAAATAAAAAAATTAAAACAAAATTCTTTGACACAATTCAATTTTTTTTTTTGAATATTTGAAAGAAATTTTTCTGAAGAATTCAATTATTTTCAATATCAAAAAAAAAATAAATAAAGTAAATAAATAAATATCTACTGTATATTATTATATGATTTCACAAAAGAATTTAATTATTTAAAAAGAAAATTAAATAAAATTGTTTCCCAACATTAAATTATTTTCGCAAATAATAAAATTCTTTTCACATAAATTCAACTATTTGAAAGAAAAATGTAATAAAATCCTTTGAAGCAATTCAATTTTTTTTGAATATTTAAAAGAAATTTTACTGAAAAATTAAATTATTTTCAATATCTACTAAATTTCAATAAGATTTCACAAAAAATTCAATTAATTAAATAACATTCTTCACAAAAATTCAATTATATTCACAAATAATAGAATTCTTTACAGAAATTCAATTATTTAAAAAAAAAATTAATAAAATCCCTTGAAACAATTCGATTATTTCCAAAATTTGAAACAAATTTTTCTCAAAAATTCAATTATTTTTAATATCTATTATTTTAATAAGATTTCACAAAATAATTCAATTATTTAAAATGAAAATTGGATTAAATTCTTTTTAAAAATTTAATTGTTTAAAATAAATTAACTATTTAAAACAATTTTTATAAAATGCTCTGAGAGAAGTCAATTATTTTAAAGGATTTTAATAAAATTTGTTTATAAGCTTTCCTATATTTCTAATTTGATATAAATTCAATTTTTGATAAAATTCTTTATAAGAATTCAATTTTAAGAAATAATTATTTATTCAATTATTTATTTTTGTATTTGAAGAATTGCATTCTTTTCGAACTTTCTGACTACAATTTAATAGTATTTAGATATTTATTTGAAAAACTTATTAAATAATTAATTTAAACATTTATTTAACAAAAGTTATTTAAGTTTTAAATAGTTTAATTTAGAAAGTATGGAAAAAATTAGTTTTCAGAAAAATAGTAAATTTCTTTGAAAATAGTTAAAATTTTATTTAAATTCTTAGAAGGAATTCAATTCTTTAAAAAATTGTTGACAAAAATCTTTATAAAAATTCCATTTAAAGAAATAATTCAATTATTTTTAATGTCTACTATTTTAATAAGATTTCACAAAAGAATTCAATTATTTAAAATAAAAATTACATAAGACTCTTTTCAAAAATTCAATTGTTTAAAACACAGTTTACATACATTTTTTTGAAGAAATTAATTATTTAAAAAAATTGTTATAAAATGTTCCGAAAAAATTCTTTGCGAGGATCCAATTATTTTCAGAAATGATAAAATTCTTCATAAAAATTCAAGTATTTAAAAAAAATATGAATAAAATTCGTTACAAGAATTCAATTATTTTCATAAATAATATAATTTTTCACAGAAATTAAAATATTTAAAATAAAAGTTTTAATAAAAATCTTTGAAAAAATTCAATCATTTTAAAAAATAAAGAAATTTTTTTCAAGAATGCAATTATTTTCAATATCTATAGTATTTTAACAAGATTTCATAGAAGAATTCACTTATTTAAAATTGAAATACAGTTTTCTTAAATTTCTTTATGAGAAATTCAGTATTTCAATTGAATTATTAATTTCAATTACTTCCACAAATATTTAAATATTTCACAGAAATTCAATTCTTTAAAAAATACTTTAAATAAATTTCGTTGCAAGAATTCAATTATTTTTGTAAATAATAAAATTCTTCGCGGGAATTCAATTATTTTTAATACAATTTGATATAAATTCAATTATTTAAACATTTTTTGATAAAATTCTTCGTAAGAATTTAATTTTAATAAATAATCAATTATTCATTCACTTATTTCTTTTTGTATTTAAATAATCGGATTCTTTTCGAACTCTACGACCAAGATATTGATACCTAATATTTAAATATTTATTTTAAAAACTTAATAAATTAGTAATTTAAATATTTACCTTTTACAAAAAATTATTTAAGTTTGGAAATTATGAAAAAAGTAGTCTTATGAAAAATTGTAAATCTTTTTTAAAATAGTTGAAATTTTATTAAAATTCTTAGAAGGAATTCAATTATTTAAAAAATTGTTGACAAAATTCTTTATAAGAATTCAACTTTAAGAAATAATCAAATGTTCAATATTACCTTTTCTTATTACTGCTTATATGTCTCTTTTCTTTGTTAAAACCAAGATTTAAATTAATGTCGAATGAAAATTTTTCACAATTTATATACTCTCAAACGTTTAACGATTTTATTTCTATAGTTCCATTACTGTTGCATACAAATTTAATTTTTACATTCCACAATTTTGAAATGTTTCTGCAAATTTTTTCCTCTTTTTTCGAAATTTTATCTTTTTTTTATTGCTTAATTATCATCAGTATTTATTATCATCCTCTTAATATTTTAAGTTCTTTTTTTAATTTTTTTTATCAACACTGGAGATATTAAGAGTAAAGTAAATATTTACATTAATATATTAATAAAACAAAACTTCTTTCTGTTTTAATGATACTTTTTTAAAAATTATTTAACGAGTACGAAGCATGTAGGACCAATTTATCTCGATGGTAATTTTTCTCCCATTCTGTATAAATATGTGACACGTGTATTACAAAATTTACAAACTAAAGGGAGACTAATTTTTTCCTGATATCATAAAAATTTTGATGGATTATACCAAAGAAGGAGCAGGATAAAAAATTATCCTCTGTCCAAAAATCGAATGATTATAAATACATTATATATAAAATAAGTCTGCATGTGCGACTAATAACGGGTTGCTCTGAATTGTTGTAATAGGTATGTCTCAATTAGGAGTCCTGGCTAATTGAAGTACTTTGCTTGGAATTCAAACGTATTTTACACTCCCCTTCTTTATTATTATATAAACTCCTTGTGTCTTGATTTTTCAAGTTGTGTTCGTGTGTGCTTCATCGTCCTCCTCCTCTGTATTTGTACAAGATAAGAGAGTAATTACTTTGGAATTAGAGCAGGCAATTTTCAGAGTGTGCGAATTATGCCGGGAAGAAACAAACTGGCAGTAGGAATGTAAACTGCTCCCTTTGGTGACAATCCTTGGAATGGTGCTGCGCTTCATCGTGCGCTGTACGCAATTGCCCTTTTTCAATTTAAACCCGTTTCACTTTATGCTGTTCCGGTCGAGTTTTACGTCAGTCCAAGTTTTATGGGAATTTCAAAGACTACTTTTAAGCCTTGTAAATGCGGATCGTGATGATAAATAAATTCCTTATGTGTGCCTGCTCTTTTCTCATTGCCCTCTTCTCTAAAAGATAACTTTTTTGCTGCAGCATCTTTAATAATTAATGCAGGCTTGCCACAGGTCAGGGAATTCAGGGAAAAGTCAGGAAAAGTTAAATTGGTCACGGAAATCAGGGAAAAGTCAGGGATTTTTAGTAAAAGTACTGAAAAAAATTGAATTTTTAAAATTCATGAGAAAACACTGAATTTTGATGTTTTTTTTTTGTTTGACTCGTAAACTATGAAATTACCAAGAATTTTAATACAAAACCTTCAATTTTTTCTATTTCTAACACTAATTTCTTTTTATAACTTAATTTTTCAAGAACTATCATAAAATTAAGACTTAAAAATTATTTAATGATTAATTTTTACAATTTTCATAAATACTAGATTGATAGAAGAATTTTAGTTAAAAATATTTTTAAAATATTGAATTTTGGTAAAGTTCCAAATGATTCATAAGTAATAAAATTTTCACAGGAATTCAATTATTTCAAATACCTACAAAATTTCATAAAATTTCTCGAAAAATATAAATTATTTAAATAGATTTTTATAAAATTCGTCGCAAGAATTCAATTATTTAAAAAAAATTTAACAAAGTTCTTTTAAAGAATTCAATTATTTTTATAAATATTAAAATTCTTCACCGAAATTCCATTATTTTTACAAATTTAAATAAAATGCGATGCAAAAATTAAAATATTTTCTTAATTAACAAAAATCATCTTAAAATTTCAATTATTTTTATTACATTTCTAAATTAATTCATCGAAAAATGCAATTATTGTTTGAAATTTCAATTAAAGAAAGTAAGAATTCAATTATTTTTACAAATAATGAAATTCTTCTCAGGAATTCAATTATTTTTACAAATGTAAATAAAATTTGTTACAAAAATTTAATTATTTATGTAAATAATAAAATTCTCCACAGAAATACAGTTATTTTTATAAACTTGAATAAGATTCGTTGGAAGAATTAAATTATTTTTGTAAATAATACAATTCTTTGGAAGAATTCAATTATTTTTTATACAATTTGATGTAAATTCAATTATTAAAATTTTTTTTATAAAATTCTTTGTAATATTTCAATTATTTAAAAAAATTCAACAAAAATCTTTTCAAGAATTCAAGCAAAATGTAATTATTCATAAAAATTTTATTACAATTTGTCAAAAGAATTCAATTATTTAAAAATATGTTGATAACATTTTTTATGATAATTCAATTTCAACAAAAATTCAATTATTCATTAAATTTTTTTTTTTTTAATTGAAATAATTGAATTTTTTTAGAATTGTCTAATAAAAATTGATTTAAAAATGAATTACCGAATAATCGATTTATTATTTATGAAAATAATTGAATTATTGCAAAAAATTTTAATAAAATTTTCCAATACTATTCAATAATTTTTAATACAATTCTTCTTAAGATTTCAATTATTAAAAAAATATGAATAAAGTTCTTCGCAAAAAATCAATTTTTTTCCAAAAAATTTAATAAAATTCTTGTCAAAATTTCAATTATTTTCAAGAATTTTCGTCATTTCAATTATTTTTAATATTTACTATTTTAATATAATTTTCCAAAGGAATTCAATTATTTAAACAAAACTTTAATAAAAGTTGCACAGGAATTCAATTACTTACCAATTTTTTATAAATTTCTTCGAACCAATTCAATAATTTTTTATTTTTTATTGAAGTTTCTCGAAAGAATTCAAATAAATTCAGAGAATTGTAAAAAATAGTTCAATTCAATGTAATTCAATTGTTTCAAAAAATTTAAATAAAATTACTTCTAAATTTTATTATTTAAAAAAATGTTGACAAAATTCTTTACAAGATTTACTTAATAAAATTGAATTTTTTATAAAATTTTCCTATACAATTCAATTATTTTTAATACAATTCTTCTTAAAAATTCAATTATTTAATTAAATTAAAATAAAATTCTTCGCAAGAAATCAATTATTTTCATAAATAATAGAATTTTTCTCGGGAATTGAATTTTTTAAAAAAAATTTAATAAAATGCTTTATATAAATTTAATAAATTATAATAAAATTGGTCATGGAATAAAATTATTTTCGTAAAATATAACATTCTTCCTAGGAATTCAATTATTTTCAATTTTTTAATGCAATTTTTCTATAGAATTTAATTATTTTCAAAAAGTTTTAAAAAATTCTGATAAATTTAATTATTTTAACAAATTTGAATAAAATTCTTCACAAGAAATTAATTATTTTCACAAATAAATTTTTTTATAGGAATTCAATTCTTTAAAGAATTTGTTAATATAATTTGTTGCAAGAATTTAATTATTTTCTCATGTTAAATTTATTATAAAACATGAAGAAATCGATCACTTCGAATCGAAGATTCGAAATAATATTCTTATAAGTTGTTGAATATCAAAAAGGGTTGAATTTGAATGTTTTGAAGAATTTTAATTCTGACAGAAAAATAATAATGATTAAATATTTATTCATAAAAGAAGTCATTGATGTTTTTGAATAATTTTACAATTAAAGAAATTTGTAAATAAATGTAATAGAACATTTTTTGAGTATCTAACAATTTTTGGAGTGAATCAGAATATTTTTCAGGGTCAGGGAAAAAGTGAAAATTTTGTCTGGAAATCATGGAAAAGTCAGGAAAAAATAAAATTAAACATTTATGGCAATCCTGTAATGTTGAATTAATCTTTAAGAAAACCGAAAAGCAAAAGTTATTGCGTCTAATTTTTTTTATTTTTGGAAAACTAAAATATTTTTTTTGTATACATAAAACAAAAGAGAGATCGGATTCGATGCTGTGTTACATTTTCAGGGAGCTGCAGGTGCTAACAAAATACCCCTCTAATCAGAAAGTCCCTCTCGCGGCACTCGGTAATTAACACTCATAATTCTTCGACCTCTATATAACTGGACTCACTTCATAAAAAAGAATTAAAGCTCGTTGTTAAGGTTGTTCTAGGAATGCCTATACGGAAAGAACATAAATCTGAATGCGTGGCCTAAAACTTCCATTCGCGGTTCCCGGATTTTTGCGCAACATAATTTATCGTCCCTCTATATATACCTAATGAACAATCTCTTTCTATATAGGCAATAATTATTATAGACTTTATGAAGAGAAGTTGGAAGCATCCTAAAATTTTTTACGACCATATTTTATGTGTTTTCAATAAACCTTTACACAATCCTGAAACTAAATTCTTCTTTTAGTGAAATATATATTTACTTCTATTATACGGAAGTTTCTTGATCCTTTCTGATTCGAGAAATGAAATATATGACAGGAAAGCAGGCAGAAAAGTGATTTTTAGAATTGTGGTTCGATAGATACGAACACGCAATCGATTTCGAAAGAAGAAGGTAGAAAAATGTTGCAATAACACACTACGAAATTCAATCTCGGTTAATTTAACATATATTTAAACTTTAGAATGAGGTAATTTTTGAATGTAAAGGGGTTGGAAAGTGACTTTTTTTTCGATTGAATTCTCGCTACATTTCGCAAGGTAGTAATTAATTACTGAAAAAGAAGGGTATGTTAAATCTTGATTGGAGATCTTGAGCGAATGCGTTTAATGCCATCTTTGTGCAATTTAGCCGGCGCTATTTCGATCGAGACGGAGAGTGGAAGTAAATATCTTGTCGATAGTGATCTACGCGATATAAATCCATCGGGTGGGATCTGAATGCCTCTGCGTTGAATCTCGATTCTCGGGGGATTAAATTAACTGAAAGCGGCTACCGCGTAACCCGTATAACGGATACACATATATATATATATATATAGAGGACACGGTTAACATGGATCGTCCGCCAGAGTTGTGCCCAGATGCCAAGAGATAGCTCTTTGCATCTGCCGTTCGATTGCGATAATTGGACGAATCTCGTTCGTTCGTTCGATTGATTGAAAATCTTATCCGAGCCCAAATGGACGCGAAAGTGCGCACAATCTCTATGGATCATTATCTAATTAGGAATTC